TCCAATCATAAAATGAAGAAGGCAGAAATCAATAATAAGAAATCTTGGAGGAAAAATGAAAAATTGTGGAAATTAAACTTCCTCACCTGCAACCTAACTGTCCAAGGGCAGTAGGGTAGGTTGCCAGGAGAAGGGAGAATACCCTCCGAGATACAAGATTTATTGAAACTTAGTAACAGGGAAGGGTGGACTAGCATCAACCTCCAAAGAGCTGTTAAGTTCCAGTGGCGACCATAGGCTGGACAGGTAGCACCTTTGTCCCTCATGGTGCTTCCCCAGTAATGCATATCCTTGCCACTACATTACCTTGAGGTCCAGTGGTGGCCAGCTGGACCAAGAGCACTTGTCTTCTCCACTGTGCTCCTTTATGAAATTGTTTGGGGAAAATGGATATTCACATGCAAAAGAGTGAGGTTGAGCCCTTACCTTACACCATACACAAAAATTAACTGAAAATGGATCAAAGGCCTAAATTTAAGAACTAAAATCATAGAACTCTTGGAAAAAGACATCTGGGGAAAAGCTTCATGATATTGGGTGGGGAACTGTTCCGCTAGAATCACCTCAACCAGCAGCTCCTCTCTGGTAATGTATGCCCCAGTAAAAGGTTTTCTCTTGATTGTCTCGAAGCTCTTATAAAACATACGATGCAAAATACGTTTCAGTGGACTGTTGATGTTCAGTTTCTGGTCAACAGCAGGCTATGAAGTAGTTAAGTTTGAGGGGAGTACAAAGTTGTCCTAATATTTTCAGCTGAAGGGAGATGAGTGTCCTGAACTCCTGCATTGTCGAAGGGTCAATAGTAGAGTAAAATAGTTACTGTAGTGGAATGAACCAACCTATCAGTCATCTCACAGTTACCCATTTCCCCACCTGTGGCAAGAGAAGCTGTGATCTACACATAAAATACAGGAGTAACTCATCCTCATGTTGTACAAGTCCATCCTCCACATCTGCTATTCTGTGTCCTTTGACCTCCATCTCCACATTTCCTCTCCTGCCCATGGTAACCACTGTTTCATTCTCTGTGTGTTTGAGCAATTTGGGCTGTTTTGATGTCTCTTCTTATGCTTTAATGTTTTTGTTGGAATTTGGATATTTGAAGAAACATCTACCTCTCCCAGTCTTACAGACTGGCTTTATATAGCAGGCCATCTTCAATCAGTCTGAATAGAGATTCTGGGGGCCTCGCTCATGTTGTCTGGAGATGAGCCTGCCCTGTGTTGTATAAATTCACAAAGCAGGTTCCTTAGTTTTGCAGGCACTCTTAATATCTTGTACTCCTGGTGTCTCTTTGCAGTATTGTAATCTCAGGTGCCACAACAAAAGAAATCTGTTTGTTCTCAGCTGCCCTTAAGGAAAAATATGCCAGTTCCTCTCAGTGCTTTGTGTCAGACATGATAGAAGCCAGTGCCTAGGCAGTTCCCACAAAATGTTGGTTGTTTGTTTCATTCCTTTCTTGAGGGAAAACCCTCAAGTTGCATGTTTTCCCCAATTGTTCTGAACTGCCCTGTCCTGGGGCAAGCCATCACCAGTGAAATGCTATGGTTTTTCTGACCTAGGTCGATTTGGCTGTTCCTGCCTTTGTACTTCTCCCCAGGACACTGTAACTTCTTAACTGCTTCTTGGATTCTCATAAAGTTTTCTTGAACCATAGGTTCTCCCTTGTCTGGGAAGAACAAGGTCTGTTGGCTTCCTAGTCCACCACATGGTTCATAATGCGATTGAGACTGAGCTTTAATCTTTGTCTTTAGTTTATAGTAGTGTGGCTAAGGTGGAAGTAACTTTCCCGCTCTGTTTTCTCTGAGCTGCTTGGATCTGTCAGTAATTTTGGCCGTCTCAACTACACCTCTTCAACCATTTCTCCTGCCCCATTCCTTTTCTTCCCCTTTTAGCATTCCAATTACATGTGGTAAGCAGCTGATTATTGTAGATGCTCTGCTCTGGATATTTTCCCCACTCTTTTTTGCTCCTTGTGTTTCAGTCATTTCTACTTTTCTGTCTTCCAGTTCACTGTTTCTCTCCTAGGCTGTATCAATGCTATAGATAAGCCCATTTGAAACACTCTGATTCTTCTGTGGCTTTATTTTCTAACATTTCCATTTGATCATTTCTAATGTTTTCCATCTCTCTGCTAGAATTACTATTTGAAATTGACCTTGTATGTTTCCCTATTATAATCTTTTAACATCTTAATTATACTTATTTTAAATTTTCTTCCTATAGCTTCAACATCTGTGTCATATTTGAGTCTGGTTTTGTTTTGTCTCTCCAGATTTTGTTTTTCTCTCTTTTTTGTGTGCCTTATGGTTTTGTTTTTGCTTTGTTTTGTTTTTTAAACACAGACATGTTGTGTCTAAATATGTAACAGTCAATTTTGACATTATTTTTTATTTTTTTTTATTGTCTCATTATTCATATGTGCATACAAGGCTTGGGTCATTTCTCCCCCCTGCCCCCACCCCCTCCTTTACCACCCACTCCACCCCCTCCCTCTCCACCCCACCCCCTCAATACCCAGCAGAAACTATTTTGCCCTTATCTCTAATTTTGTTGAAGAGAGAGTATAAGCAATAATAGGAAGGAACAAGTGTTTTTGCTGGTTGAGATAAGGATAGCTATACAGCGAGTTGACTCATATTAATTTCCTGTGCGTGTGTGTTACCTTCTAGGTTAATTCTTTTTGATCTAACCTTTTCTCTAGTTCCTGGTCCCCTTTTCCTATTGGCCTCAGTTGCTTTTAAGGTATCTGCTTTAGTTTCTCTGTGTTAAGGGCAACAAATGCTAGCTAATTTTTTAGGTGTCTTACCTATCCTCACCCCTCCCTTGTGTGCTCTCGCTTTTATCATTGACATTATTTTTGTTTTCTATTTAATTTAGTTCAATATTATTTTTAAATTGTTTCATTCTTCCTTTTATGCTGGCAATGGGATTTGAACTCAAGGCCTCACACTTGCCAGGCAGAGAGATGCGTTACCACTTGATCTAAGCCCCAAGCCCTTTTTTGTTTTAGGTATTTTTTGGATAGGATATTGCATTTTTGTGTGAGGCCAACCCCAGACTGCAAGTTGTGACATCAGCTGTAATTAGAAGGAAGAACTGGGTGAAGGTATGGCTCAGGCAGCAGAGCTCCTACCTAGTAAGTATAAAGCTCTCAGTTCAAACCCCAATACCTCAAAAAAATGAAAAATTAGAAGGAAATACCGAGCGTTAATAATATGAGTCTACTTCTCAACTTGGGTGGATGGGTTTTCTCTTTATAATCATATGCTATATTGTACCCTATGTTCTTATTGGCTTTCTGTATATATTAACATTTTAAATAGTATGAGAAATGAGCATTTATGATTCAATGCTGGCTTTATTTCTTTATTACATGTTTCTTCATTCTACAATTTGTGCAAGGTTTTTTTTAAAGTGAATACATACATAATTTTCATAGAGTAAACAACAAAGGACTATTCCCTTTTAAAAATTATACATACATAGTATTTCAAAATGAAAATTCAAATTTGAACACTTCAGTAGGAATTGTATCTGCTACAGTTTTGTGTTAGTCAGAATTGTCATCACTATGATAAAATATTTAGCATAAACAACTTCAGGGAAGGATTTGTTTTGATTCATGGTGTCAGAGGTTTCAGTCCATAGCTCAGGGTGCCATTGATTCTGGGTCTGTGGTGAGGCAGGGCATGTGACAGAGGCTGTTCACTTCAGACAGGAAGCAGAGACAGAGAGAGGCCCAGGACAAGGTGCAGCCCCAATGACAGACACATCCCCAGTGACCTACTTCCTTCCCTATGTCCATCTCCTAAAGTTTCCACCACCTCCCAAAATAGTTCCACGAACCAGGAACCAAACTATCAATACAGAGCCCATTGGAAGACCATTGGGACTCTTCATACCCAAACCATAACAAGCTTGGATCTAGAATGTCTTCCAAAGGCCCCTGTGTTAAAGGCCTGGTCCCCAGCTTCAGGCAGTATTAGAAGGCATGGAGTTTAGCAGGAGATCTTCCCATCATTGGGGGGGTGTGCTGGAAGAGGAATGAGGGACTCTGGTCTCTTCTCTTGCATCCTAGCCACTATTTGAGCAGCTTCATCCACCACAAGCTCCCAACCATGTTGTGCTGCCTTGCTACAGGACCAAAAGTAATAGGGACATTGGCCACAGACTGGAACCTCCAAAACTGTGAGACCTAAAAATAAAACTTTTATCTTGTAAGTTAATTAACCAAAGTATGTATTCAAAGCATGTATTACAACAATGGAAAACTAACATAGTACCTATACAGGCAATTAAACGTCAGAAAGTATGTAAATGATGAACAAATATATAGCACATTTAATTTTTCAAGTGAATAAAACTACATATAAAAACATTTTTATTACATCTAATTTCACAAGTTCTTAACATAACATATTCAAACAAGGTAACTATTTGCTTCATTAAACAAAAGCCTTAAAAGAAAATGCAGAGTGGGTGGGAGCACGAGGCACATATCGCCAGCAAGCGGTCATGGAAACAGAAATTGAAAAATCTTTCAGGAAGAAAATCCGGTAGTGTACTTAAATGTGTGACAGCTCTACCTTTTCTTAATCCAGCAATTCAAGTTCAAGGACGTTTAGAGAACAATCTTCAAAAAGACACCTGCAAGGCTGGCAGAATGGCTCAAATGTTACAGCGCCTTCCTGGCAAACAAGAAACAAGAAGCCCTGAGTTCAAAACCACCGCCCAAAAAAAGAAAAAAAAAATATATATATATATATATACACATATATATATACATAAGACTAGGGGAGTGGCTCAAGTGCACAAACTCAGGAGGAGCCTTCCCGAGGCTTGAGCAAGTAACCCGCCCCCACCTCCTCCAGGCAAATGTGGGGAACTACACTTCCCAGAAGGCGCTGGTCCTCGCGTGGACTGCATTTCCCAGAGGCCTTAGCGGCCCCCTACCGGTGCCAGACCCACCCCTCGTGTACCTCCATGGCCGCCAAGTGTCCGCCTCGAGGGTGCGGCTCCCATGCCTGAGGTCGCGCAGGCAGAGCCCTGACACCAGGAGACCGGCGGGCGGCGCAGTTTCAGAGCCTCTTGCCTGTGGAGTCCGACCGCCGAGTCCCGGCCACTCGGACCCCCGAACCCAGGTAGGTGAGTGGTGGCGGGGCGGGGATTGCTGGAGGCGGACCCGGGCCTTGGGAGGATGCGGGCGGAGACCCGGCCCATTGAAGCGCTGAGAGGCCTTTGTGGGCGCGGTGGAACCCCGAGCTCTCGCCGTCCGCGACGCCGCCTGGACGTGTGCGGTCGGCGCTCGGTCCCGGTTCGCCCCAGCGCAGCTCCCGCCTCCTGAGCCCCGTCCCGGCGCGTTCCCTGCCCGCGCTGCCGACTTGGAGCGGCCGCGGCCGCGGTCACGCGTGGGAAACGCGGTCCTCCCCGGGGAGCCAGGCGCCAGGACCAGAACCAGAACCAGGTCTTCCTTTTCTGGGCCGGTCCCCGCCGGGCATGGGGAAGCCACCGTTCCCCGTTTCTGGGAGGGTTTTCTTCAAAATCCTGGAAATGGATTCATTTGCAGGAGGCAGAGAAATTGGGTGGGCGAAGCTTGAGGCTGAGGAAGATTGTGGCATGGAAGACCGTGAGACTAAAGCCGTTGCTCAGGGTGCGGGCTTGGAGTCCTGTGACTTCTCACTGGCTGTGACCATGGGGACAGGTGACGGCACTCTGCTCTCAGTTTCCTGATCTATAAAGTGTGGGCGCCAAACAGTGTAAGGCAGTGCCTGGCTTGGGGTGAGTCTCAGTGATGGAGTCCAGGGTCCCCTCCTAGTGTTGCTCTTGGAGATTCCCTGAGCCCAGAAGAGTGAGGGCCTGGGCCAGCATGGGTAGCCCTTCCCTGGTCCTGTCCACTCCCAGCTTCCTCTCTGAAGTCCCCTGGAGTCATTCTGGGGTGATGAAAAGGATTTGACAGCTGCTGATCCTGAGTGGCCTAAAGCAAAAAGGGCTTCCTCCTGATCCTTTTTTCTTCTCTTAGATCCAGCCTCTGAGGGACACTGCAGTCATCCTTGGGGGAAGAGCTCAGAGGACATGGCTCCTGAGCAAAGGGAAGCACAGTCTCAGGTGAGCTCATTGCCTTCTCAGTTCTTAGTGGATGGAGATGGAGTTTTTTTTCTCAACTTATTGGAAGCTGTCTACCCAATACAACCTTCACCAACATTTGGAGTCCATCTTTTTTATGGAGGAAGAGTTGGTCCACCCTCCTAGGTGGTAGATTCTGCATGGGATATACCCATGTCTAGTGTTCATTTCTGTTCGCTAATCTCAATCTGTTGTGTCATTACTAATTTGACAGGTAAGATGTCAGGTGTCTTTTCATCACTATGGACAGACAAACATAAACACCTGGGAAAATTTCATTCTGACCCTGCCACCTTCACTCAGCCATGTCTCTCTGTGCCCCTGGCAAGAATGCTTTTCTTTTTCTCTTTCCTCCTGAGAATCTTCGTGGTGCCGCCCCCAGGTTTTGCAGCCCCTAGTTTTTAGTTTTTTCTCCACTTCACTTTATAGATCATATGCTTTGCCTCTGCCACTCTTGTAAAAAATGACTTTGATCTGCCATTTTCATCTTTATGTTGGGGGACTGGGGAGGCCGCCCCATCCAGGTGAGACGATGAGTAGGCCTATGATAGCAGGGGACACAATAGGAGAGGACTCTTACTCCAGGAGCAAAGAGAAGACTCCCCAGGAAGGCACAGGAGGATTTCATGAGCTGTCAATGGCAGAGAAGCAGTGCACACAGTGGTTAGGAAGTGGGGTTCTCAAGTCAGACAGATGGTTTTAACCCCTCTCCTCTGTTGCTGTTTGTGGCCTTTGGGCAAATAACTCCACTTCTTTGTCTATCAGTTTCCTCACCTATAAAAATCAGTGCCTATCTCCTAGGGTAGATGAGGGAATGACATGAGTTAGTGCATGGAAAGTGTTTAGCTCAGGGCCAGGCACATAGTGACCATTCAACATGCAACATGTGATTGAAGGATACTATATTACTAATATTTCATAGAAACTGCTAAGGGCTGGAGGTATGATTCAGTGTCAGAGTGCTTTCCTAGCATATGCAGGATCCTGGGTTCAATCCCTGGCATGGCAAAAGAAAAACATACAACAGAAACAAATAGAAACTACTTTACAGTGTTCCAGGACCCAGAAAATACTTGTCCTTTCTCTACTGTTCTTCATCTAACACTGACACTGAATGTTTAGTGAGCCTCCAGCATGCACGGAATGCACTAAGGGCTTTTTATTTGTTATTGCTCTTTCTCACAATAGCATGGCAGTGTCCCTGCTGTGATTGGATTTAAATGTCCCCCAAAGGCCAGTGTGTTAAAGGCTTGGTCTTGAGCCCATGGCACTACAGGGAGTTGGTGGGGCCAAGTAGGAGGAAATTAGGTCACTGGGGAGTATGTCCTTGAAGAGGATACTAGCCTCATCCTTTTTTCTTTAGCTTCCCAGCCTCAAGGTAAATGTGTTTCTTCCTCACACTCCCACTATGATGTGCTGTCTCCCCATAAGCCTAAAGCATCAGAGCAAACCAATCATGGACTGAAACCTCCAAAACTGTGAGTCAAAATAAACCTTTTCATAAATTGATTATCTCAGGTATTTGGTATAGTAATTAAAAGGTGAATAAAACATACTCGTTCTACATACATACGAGGAAACCAAGGTTCCAAGAAGTCAAGTAACCCAAGTTCATGTTCAGGTGCATCTGGTCCTCAGTCCATTATTAGACCATCCAGCTCTCCTCTACTACATCTTTCAGAGCGTGGACCTGGGCACATGTTCCCAAGGCACATTAGCAAAGCAGTATTATCTTTGGATCAGTTTGATTTTTTGAGACCATAGCCACTCAAATGCATGTTTAGGTTGCTGTGTTTGCTTTGAGGCTTTCCCATTCCATTCAAGAGAGCCAAGTTGCTCTCCTGCCCAGACCCTTCATCTCTCTATCTGTGTCTGCTGTCCATGTGTCAGTACCATGCAGCCTGGAGTATAAAATTCAATGATGCGAAGTTTAAGACCAGAAAGAGAAAACAGAAGTGCTGGGGTCAGGATTGGAAAACTTCAGTTATGGTCCTACAGCTGCTTTGTAAAGCATGTAAGCCGGTGTCTTGCCTACCCTTGTTTCTGTTCCTTGTCTCTAAAATGAGAATTGAATAGATAGTGTATGGTTCTACCTGTCCACCTACACCTCAAACCCAGGGTCTCTTGCATGCCAGGCATATGCTATATCACTGAGCTATATTCCCAGCCCCTGCAAAACTATCTTTCATCACTCAAATAATTTCATGCATTTTCCTTAACTGCCAATTGGACTGCAAATTCTTTGAGAGCAAAGATCATTTCTTACATTCCCTTCATAGCTAGTAAATTATCTTTTGTATCACAATGTATTGTACGCTGTTGGTAAAAATTTCAGAGGTTAAAAACATACATATGAATAGAAAAACAAATTCATTTTTTTACCACTATATTCTCACAACAGTCTTTTGGCAGGAGTGTGGGTGATTTTCTTCATCAACCAAGCAAGAAATGCTGCAGAAGTGACCCCCAGCTGGTATCCTGTAACTGAATTCAGTTCAATTCAAGTAGAGTCAGTCTCAGATCCCACAGGTTGGGGGCACAGCTCCACAAGACTGCCCCCACTTCAGACAACAGTTGCAAGTCTGGGCTGACCAACTGGCTGTAAGTCAGGATTCCCACAGCCATCTCTGGAGTAGCTCACAGAACGCATTCCAGCTCAGGGAAACACATTTACTGGCTTATTATAAAAGATATTATATAGGACACAGGTGAAAAGATGTATAGAGTGAGGTGTGGGGGAAGAGGAGCAGAGTTTCCAAGCCCTTTCTGGCTATATGATGTGAATCTTCAAGAACATCCATGGGTTCAGCTCTTAGAAGAATCCTGTCTGTCTGGGTTTTATGGAGGCTTCATTACAGATGCATGACTGAGCAAATCATATCCTGAGCTTATCTAGGAGCCCCGGCATTAGCATACAAAAAGACACCACTCTATAAAGATTTTAGGAGCTGTGCTGTGAAATGGAATGAAGAACAAATAGTATTTCACAATACACATGTGCAAAAAACAAAGTACAATTACCCTTGCTGCAACATCTGGAGACGATCACTGGCAGTCCTTTGGTGTGTATCCATCAGAATCACTTTCTATATATATTTATTCATGTGTATATGTATGTGTGTATTTTGTCACTTTAAACTTTTTTATTGTGGTAAGATGTACATACCTTATAACTTACCATTTTAACCCCTTTTGGATTGTAATTCAGTGGCATTTTAAGTACATACATTCACATTAATTATTGAGCAACCACCATTGCTATCCATCTCCATTGTTTATGTAGCACAAAATAACAATCTACTTTAAAGGAAATCAGAGAATAGGACCAGAGGCATGACTCAAGTGGAAGAGTGGTAGAACAGTTGCCTAGCAAGTGCAAGACCCTATGTTCAAACCCCAGTACCACCATAAAAAAGAAAAAGAGAAAGAAGAAAATAGTTTTTTCTAAGCTAAATTTGGGTGATCGTGGTCTTGGAACATAGATTCAAGTTACCCTTAATGATGTGCTTCAGCTGTGAAAGTCGTTACATGAATTTTTACTCAAAGAACAAAGGACATCACAAATCAAAACATAATGAATACATAGGTAGACACTATAGCCAAGGAGGGAAGTCTTTTCTGTAGATAGCAGATGTTATATTACAGCATTCTTAGCCTGGGGGTTGGTGGGAGGTGGAATACTGTTAGCTTAGCTGTACATTCCAAGAGGCTTTCCTAATAGGAGAATGTTAGGTCACATACAAAAGTAAAGTAAATGGCCATTTTTGTAAAGGCCCATTTCCCACAATCATGATGTTCTACTGAACTGAGGTCAGACAATCTGCAGGATCTCTAATACAAATGCAACTTCTTCAGAGAACTTCAGCTCCATATATACATTACCTCATTTATATATGAACCTATGAAGTAGGAATTGCGAGACAAATTGCAGATTGGTTAAGAATGGGTGCTGGTGACTCATGCCTGTAATCCTAGCTACTTGGGTGGCTGAGATCAAGAGGATTGCAATTTGAGGCCAGGCCTGGCAAATAGTTCACAAGAACCCCTATCTCCAAAATAAGCAGAGTGAAATGGACTGGGAGTGTGACTCAAGCATAGCACCTGCTTTGCAAGTGGAAGCCCTGGGTTCAGACCCTAGTCGCACATGCACAGACACACACACACACACACACAGAATGGGACCTAGGAAGACCAATGAGAGTCCACTGCTAACACTGGCCAGCTGTGTGACTTGGGCAGATTTCTACTCCTGTGTGATTCTGGTTTTTTTCCTGTGTAGAATGTAGACCATAGTAGCACCTTCTTCATAGGATTATGGTGAAGATTAAATTGATTATACACCGAAGATTAGCATTCAATAACTGATTTCCATTTTAATGTTCATAATTACTGTCCTCAAGCCTGAGGAAGCAATGTCTTAAGTTATTCAACCTAATCTTCAACTAGTGAGTATTTAAGTGACTTTTTCACTGTTACAAATACCATAAGTATCATTGTACATGTAATTTTAGGAATTGTTGGTTACCATATAGATACAATAATTGATGAGTTAAAAAATACATTTCTAAGCCTTATAATACATATTACCAAATCTTCATCAGAACCCCCCCTACTCATATGTCATAATGGCTAACACAAGGTTAGTCATTTCATCACATTGGCAAAATACCTGAGATAATCAACTTAGGAGGAAATGTTTATTTTGGTTCATGATTTCAGTCCAGGGTTGCTTGACCCTGTTGCCTTTTGGCCTGTGCTAAGGCAGTGCATTGTTGCAGATAGTGTACAGCAGAGCAAGCTGTTCATCTTATGATGGCCAGGAAGCAACGTACAGGAAAGATAGGGGCTAGGTCTCTATCTTCCTCAAGGGCACACCCCTTAACTTTCTTTCACTAGGTCCCACCTTCTAAAGGTTCCACCGCCATCCAGGGTCCCATAGGCTGTGGACCAAGCCTTTAATACACAGAACTTTAGGAGACACTCCAGGTCCAAACTCTAATAGCCAGTTTTTTTTTATGTTTGATGCTGTCAGTGTGTATTTGTCACTGGTCAAATATTCGTTAAACAATGACCGGGACCCTTCAGCATCTTGAATGTCATGAGCAGCATTTCATGGTAGCCTGTCCACCTCCCCCACTATATAAGGACTGGTTCTGGGTGAGCTGGAATAGTTTATCTTTGCAGGTGTCAGTGACATTTGAAGATGTGGCTGTGTGCTTCACTCGGGATGAGTGGAAAAAGCTGGATCTTTCTCAGAGAAGCTTGTACCGGGAGGTGATGCTGGAGAACTACAGTCACCTGGCTGCACTAGGTAAGGAAATTCCCCTGTAGATACAGAATTCAGAAATGGGAGCTGTCAGCGCCTCCTTCCCTGAACAAAAGCTGTGGGTCATCATAAGAGTTTAGCTGAATGTTGCCTTAGGATTATACCAATCAGATCTCTTTAAAAAAAAAAAATAGTGAAAGCATACAGCTTATAAGCATGGAACTGCCACATGTACAGAAGTGGGAGACGTGGTATTGTTCTGTGGTTGGTTTGTTCATCTGTCTGCAGAGGGCTACATTCAGCCTATGGACTTACCTTTCCCACTTGCCTTTTCTAGAAGTCAGCAAACTTTTTCTATGAAGGGCCAGGTAGTAAATATTTTAGGCTTTGCAGAGTACATATGATCTCTATAACTCTTAGTCTTTTGGGTTTTATTTGTTTATTTTATCTATGAGGAGGACTCCCATTTACCAAACCCAAGGTGATCTCCCTGTTGCAACAAGGCGAAGATCCCTGGAGGGCAGAGAAGGAAAGACCTGGAGATTCCACTCTCGGTGAGTGAGAGGGTGCGCCAGTCTGGTTCATTAGTGAGTTGGTTGCGAAACTTCCTCAAATTGTCAGCCCTCAAGAAGTGATGGGGGTACATGCCTGAAATCCCAGCTACTTAGGAGGTAGAGGCAAGAGGATCATGAGTTTGAGGCCAGCCTGGGCAAAAGTTAGCAAGACCCTATTTCAAAAATAAAAGGGCTTGGGGACATGACTCAAGTTGTGGAGCATTTGCCTAGAAAGTGTGATGCCCTAGGTTCAGTCCCCAAGTACTGCAAAAAAGAAGAAATGATGGAGTCTGGAGATGTGTGCAATGTGCAAGGCCCTAGGTTTAATCCCCAGCACTGACCAAAACAAAAAAAAGTGTTGGGGAAGGGAAAGCCCAGGCTCCTAGACATGAGCTTCTCATTCTCTCATAACCACTTCTCAAATACATCTCTCAGTATCTGTTTTCTTGTTCTTTCTGAGGAAGGTTGCATTTTTATGTAGTCATTCAAAAAACATAATGTAGTGAAGGGATTTCAAGTAATTCATTCTGGTTGAAGCTCAGGATCTGTATGGAAAAAGGAGATGAGAAAGGGAGTGATATTGGAAGGCTATGTAAGGGCCACATTGTAAGTGCTTCAGTGCAGTTCTAAGAGATTTGAACTGTCCCATGGATAACTGGAACTATTTGAGGAATTTTTTTTTTTATTCATATGTACATACAATGTTTGGGTCATTTCTCCCCACTCCCTCCCTTACCACCCACCCCACGCCCTCCCTCTCCCCCCCAACCCCCTTGGTACCTGGCAGAAACTATTTTGCCCTTGAGAAATTTAAATATAGCATTATGTAATCTTTGGTAATTTAGAGACACTGATCTGAATCAGAAACAGTTTAAATGTCCTTTAATAAAACAGCTAGAGAAGTTGATATGTCCTTACTCTGGCCTACATCACCAAACTTAAAATGAAAGAACAGGCTGGTGGAGTGACTCAAGTGGTAGAGTGCCTGCCTAGCAAGCATGAGGCCCTGAATTCAAACCCCAGTGCCACAAAAAAAAAAAAAAAAAAGAGAAAGAAAGAAAGAACACTAAATGTGGACAGAGCTCCAAGGTATGTTAAGAAGTAAAACAAGTTACAGAGCACCATTTATGTTTTATGTGTGTTTTTATGTGTAATATGCATGTGAGCACAGAGAGAAAGGTGAGGAGGACACACTTTAGCTAGTAACACTAAGTTACTTTTAGAATTGAGTCCAATGAAAGAGGACTTTAGTTGCCTGTAAAGCATATTATATTCCTGAAATCTGTATGTGATGTGAATGTAAAGAAGAGTCACTTTGGGGGCATCAGGAGGGTAGATTTAATGAGGCAAAGCTAGAGGTGCAGAGCCTCACAGAACTGTTGCAGGAATGTAGGCAAGAAGCTAGTAGGGCCTGGACCAAGGCCCCAGGTCTCAAAGGGAATGAGGAGGATCCAGTTTGATAAGGGCATAGAGGGAAGTTGGTGTGAGATTGTTTTCATTTGAGACATGAATGAAATACTTGTGTAGACATCGCTGTTGACAATCACATAAGGTAGATGGTGTTGGAGCTCGGGGAGCGTTCGTGGTGGAGTGGCATTTGCAGCCTTGCACTGACCAGGTGAGGGAACAGAGCAGAGGACAGAATCCCTAGAAACTGCATTTGCAAGGTGCTTAAGGAAGAGAATCCATGAGTGAGCCTGAGATGAAGGGTCAGCAGAGAGAAATGGGAGAGGTGGCCACTGGGGACTGAAGTTTGTTTAGTGGGAGAGGCCCTCACTGGAGGACCTAGGCTCAGACCCTGGTCTGCCCCTTAGCCATGCCTTCATAAATACTCTGCTGGGCATCACCAGAACAAGACCAGTCCTGCCCTTGTAGAGCTCATGGTCCAATTGGGAGAACTGGAGGACACCAAATACACACAGAATTGCAAATTCTAATGAGCACCAAAGGGAAAGACACAAAGTACTGAGAGAGCCCGGGACAGGAAGGCAGCCTCAGCCGAGGCTTCCCCAAGGAAGGCCTGAGCATGTGGAGAATGATTCTAGGCCCAGAAGAAGGAATACCAGGAAAAGTGTAGAAAAGTCAGCAGGAGACAGCAGCAGGACCAGATTCTGCTGAGTCCAGACCCCACCATGGGATTTGGCCTCAGGAATTTAGACCCTGCACAGGGCTGAGGTGTTGGGAGTAGCCTGGAGCTGGGCTCAGGTCCAGACCCTCAGCTATAGCTGTTCACACCTAGGCCCAGGTAGGAGTGTGTTACAAACAGCGGCCCCCTTTCTGGGAGAGCTCTGTGTGTCTAAAGTGAGTTTCTGAGGTGGGAACCACAGCTGTCCTATCTTCTTAACCCTCACTTGGAAGAAATACACTAATTGCATAGAAACTGCCAGAGGCCACTCCAAAGTAAACAGAACCAGGCAGTAGGGAAGCAGAGTCTGTCAGGAAAGATGAGAGAAAGATGAGAAAGAATCCTTCCCTGGGCCCTACTTGGGAAGCCTCTGATGGATGTGTGAGTCTCCTTTCCTGAGTGTGGATGAGAGTAGATGAGTAGGAAGCAGGACTGAGGTCCATAGCTGTCCAGAGAGGGGCTGGGGCTCCTGATCAACTCACCTCCTCAGCTCTGAGGACAGTCATGGAGGGAAGCTGTGAGTGGATTCTTGAGTGAAGTAACAGCTGTTACCTGGCGAATCTAGGCCTAATGGCAGGCACTCATTGGGTGTTGGCCATTATTAGCAAGATCATTCTAGGCTATAAACTTCTGACTTAAGTCTTAACCTAGTTCACAGGGTAGCTCAGACCTGTGATTGAAGTCAGTTAGGATGTCCATAATCTATAACACATGTCTGCTTTAGCGGAAAACACAACTAGGACTAAGACATTGGCACTTTAGAGTTGAGATGAGTTTATCAGAGCTGATATGGACCCTTGTAGCTGTAATCACTTCCATTACAAATAAAAACTCTCATTTCTTATTTCCTTATTCTCCTTTAAAACAAACTTTTCAAATGCATGTTCCATTTGATGATTCTATTTTCCTACCTCCCCTTGTTTCCTGTGTGCCCACTAATTAAACCTTGTATTTCACTGAAAGCACCATTATTGAGTCTCAAGCAACCTCTAATTTGCTATAGTCAGGGTTTTTAGTCCTCAGAGATTTGCCACAGTTGAACATTCACTCCTCCCTAAGGTGCTCTTTTTTTCTCTCTTTGGCTTCTGGAACACCGTCCTCTTCTGATAACCCTAAATGTTGCAGTGATCAAGTGATTTCTTTCAGTTCTTTGGCTTCAAATAAAATCTGTATGCCAATGACTCCCACATGCCTATGTGTAGCTCTACTCTTTCCCTGGATCTTCAGAATAATACACACAACTGACTATTTCAATGTCTTCCCTCAGTGTCTACTGGGACACCTCAACCATCACAAATATCTGAAACAGGCTACCACCCAGACTTGCCCTTTTCCTAGTCTTTGCCTTCTCTATGACTGGCATCAGTATTCATCATTTTCAGTTTAGGAACCTAGGCATGATCCCTAACTTTTATTTTTCCTTCTCAGCACTCTGTCAGTCCATTAGTCTCAGTCCTATTAGCAACTTTCTTTGTAATGTGTCTTGATAAAGTCATCTGTACCTCACCCCTTGTCTCACCTAGACAACCAGAGTGGCTTCCTAAGGTGCCTCTCCTTTCCCTGCTTCCACTTGTGCCTGAGTACAGTCTAGTCTGTAACAGTTGCCAGTACAAATGAGCACATAATCCCCCGAGGCTTCCCATCATGCTTAGAATAATATTCCAAAGTCCAACCTAGGAGGCCTTATGTGAATTGTCCCCACCACATGTTCCAGTCTTATTTTACCATTTTCCCTCTTGCTCACTGCACTCTAGCCAAGTCTTTTTTTTTTTTAATGTTGTTCACAGAAGTCAACCACACGTTTGTGTTTCCTGGTTGTTTACCTAGGAAGCTCTTAAGATAGTTCTGTGGTTTTTATTTATTTACTTTTTGTCATAGAGAGGAAACCCAGGTCATGTCCCCACTGACCTAACTCCTCCAACTACACCCCCTTCCCAAAAATTTCCATCACCTTCCAATAATGCCATCAAATGATGAACCCATTGGATTCATCCATTGGCTAGGTCAGAGCCTTCATGATCCAATCACTTCCCAAAGCCCATCAGTTGGCAGCTAATCCTTAACCCATGAGCCTTTGGGGAACATTTCAGATTCAAACCATAGCACCTCCCTTGATGCATAAGTAGGCTATCTTCCCAGCTTACAACTCTTGGCTTCATGCCTACCTTGTGGCACCTGTATAGATTAATTCAGTAATGCCTTCCTGTGTGAACTGGCTCTGAAACCTCCCAATCATCGATGTACTGTTCTGAAAGGCAGCTTCTATAAGGACGTGTGTGTGTGTGTGTGTGTGTGTGTGTGTGTGTGTGTGTGTAAAACAAATTAATGTGTAAGTAAGGCTATTTGACATTTTTCAAATTATGAATATATAAGCAATGAAGAAAGATTTACAAAATAGTTTTTTTATATAATTGGGATGCCATCAAGAGGATTTGTTGGATGCTAATGCACACTAGTATATTTGGGAAGAGTATTTATGTTCATTAGAAGAGTTAAGTGAAATAGATATGTAGAAAGATAAGGGGAAGGCAGTAATGAAGGGGGAAGGATTAATGAAGAAAGTAAAGAAGATGAATATGGTTAGTGCATTTTCTCTACAAGTATGAAGATGGAACATTCAAACCAGTTGAAATCACCATAAAAAGGAGACTAAGAAAGGACAATAATGGAGGAGATGAACCAATTTGGGGTATAATATGTATATATGTGTATATATATATATATATATATATATATATATATATATATATATATATATATATATAAATGTCACAATGGAACTCCCTATACCTATCATAAACAAAAATTTCTTTAAAAATGAAGGACAGGAAGTTTTTGTTTTTGTTTTTTGTGGTGCTGGGGCTTGAACTTAAGGCCTACACCTCCAGCCACTCCATCAGCTCTTTTTTTGTGTTGGGTTTTTTCAAGATAGTATCTCATGAACTGTTTGCCTGGGCTGGCTTCGAACCTTATTCTCCTGATCTCTGCCTCCTGAGTAGCTAGGATTACATGTGTGAGACACCAGCACCCGGCTAAGGACAGGAAGTTAAAACAAGTCCCATCCAGGGTTGGTACCAGCAGGAGAGGGAAGGGCATAAGGAAAGGGTAAAGGAGAGCAAATATGGTGGAAGTACTATGTATTCATGTGTGAACATGAAACAGTAAGACCTGTTGAAACTGTCCTTAGAAGGGAGTGAGGAGGGATAAAGGAGAAAGATGGAGGAGGTGAATCTAACTAAGATATATTGTAAGCACTCTTGGAAATGTTACAATGTACCTGTTAGAATTATAATACGCTAGCGAATTTTTAAAAGAAAGATACATAAATATAATACACTACATATGCACATTAAAAAGGTACATAATATATATTTAACACTCTAGTAAGTGCTATAGTAAGAGAAAAGGACTGTGGATGTTAAGAGTCAAGCAATGATTCAGAGAGAGTTAACTTTTGAACTGAATCTCAAGGATAAAAAGGAATTGGGGCATGAGACTTTAGAGGGCAGACTTCACAGATTAAGAATGATTACACAAAGAAGAGGAACTTCAGAATGATAATTTTAGAGTCCATCATGGGCTTTGGATTCTAATACCATTTACCAACTCCTGCTCCCTTTTTAATCTCTTCTCTGTCAACCTTCTTTAAATGGGTTTGCTTTGTTTTCTTCACTCTACTACTTCTTCCCCCATTGATTAATTTTTTATACTGCCTAACTCTTCTCCCTCTTCCCTTCTTGCTATTTTTTGACTGGAGACCAAGACCTTATTTAAATAACATAAAGATTCAGTCATTCTACACATTTAGCCTCAGTAGCCAAATTCTATATCACATGAGACATCTTCAGTTTCTTTTTTTTTTTTTCCCCTCTTCAGGTTGGATGCACAGTCACAAAACCACAAAGTCAACACAAACACCAGATTCTTCATTTCAGGAACTGATAATGAAAAGAGCCAAAAGAAATGGACCCTGGGACTTGAAATCCAAAAAACTTTGCATATATGAAGGCAAATTAGATAAAAAGCAGGGTAAGACTGCTTTGATCATAGAAAGAAGCCATAAAAACAATGAATTTAGCCAAAACTTCAGCCCAAAGTCAGTCCTTGTTAGGCAACAGATAATTCCCAGAGAAAAAACACCACCAAAATGTGAAAAACAAGGAAATGCTTTCAAACGGAATTCAAATTTACCCAGCCAACCAAAAATCACAGAGAAACGCTATAAATGTAGCATGTGTGAGAAAACTTTCATTAATACTTCATCCCTTCGTAAACATGAGAAAAATCATAGTGGAGAGAAATTATTTAAATGTAAAGAATGTTCAAAAGCCTTTAGCCAAAGTTCAGCTCTTATTCAACATCAAATAACTCATACTGGAGAGAAACCCTACATATGTAAAGAATGTGGGAAAGCTTTTACTCTGAGCACATCCCTTTATAAACATCTAAGAACCCACACTGTAGAGAAATCCTATAGGTGTAAGGAATGTGGTAAATCCTTTGGCAGAAGGTCAGGCCTTTTTATACATCAGAAAATCCATGCTGGAGAAAATCCGTATAAATATAATCCAGGTAGGAAGGCATCTAGTTGCAGCACATCCCTTCCTGGTCAAAGAATTCATTCCAGAAAGAAGTCCTATTTGTGTAACGAATGTGGCAACACTTTTAAGTCTAGCTCCTCCCTTCGCTATCATCAGAGAATTCACACTGGAGAGAAACCTTTTAAATGCAGTGAATGTGGGAGAGCCTTCAGTCAGAGTGCATCACTCATTCAACATGAAAGAATCCACACTGGAGAAAAGCCCTATAGATGTAATGAATGTGGAAAGGGCTTCACTTCTATTTCCCGACTCAATAGACATCGAATAATTCATACTGGTGAGAAGTTTTATAATTGTAATGAGTGTGGCAAAGCCCTAAGTTCCCACTCAACACTTATTATTCATGAGAGAATTCATACCGGAGAGAAACCATGTAAATGTAAAGTGTGTGGGAAAGCCTTCAGACAAAGTTCGGCTCTCATTCAACATCAGAGAATGCATACTGGAGAGAGACCCTATAAATGTAATGAGTGTGGGAAAACATTCAGGTGTAACTCCTCCCTTAGTAACCACCAGAGAATTCATACTGGAGAGAAACCATATCGATGTGAGGAATGTGGGATGTCATTTGGTCAAAGTTCAGCTCTTATCCAGCACCGGAGGATTCATACGGGAGAGAAACCCTTTAAATGTAATACATGTGGGAAAACTTTCAGACAAAGCTCATCTCGTATTGCACATCAGAGAATTCATACTGGAGAGAAACCCTATGAATGTAACACATGTGGGAAACTCTTCAACCACAGGTCATCCCTTACTAATCACTATAAGATTCATGTGGAAGAGGACTCCTAGAAATCAGATTTGCATGTGTGAAAGCCTTAAGCCAAAGTTCATCAGAAAATATGTACTTGAGAGTGGTATATTAAATGTAATGGATATGAAAAAGAAACCCTATAATCACTTAGTTCTCATCAGAGATTAAACCCCATGGGAAAACTATGTAATAAATAAGAGAAAAGTGTTCGTGCCTGACAGACACTTTTAAAAAGTACCTGAGAACTGGGCAGAATGATACACTCCTGGAGACTGAGGTGGGAAGATCACTTGAGCCTGCAAATTCAACACCAGTGTGGGCAACATGACAAGACCCCACTTAAAAAATAGTAATAACCTGAGATGAAGAATTCACAATCAGAAACATTGACTGAGCATTTGTAAAGTAAAAGGCATTTGTTTTTCCTCTCTACAGCAGTGTATGCTAGATATCATATGTAATTGTGATAAACATCTGAGTGGGTTAGGGAGATATGCTCTGGATTTCTTGTTTAGAAAAGCACCAAACTCTACACTGATAACATTTTTATTACATTTTAATAGCATATTAAAGAAGGGATCAAAAATATATACATTTTTAGAGAAAAGGACCAAAACCAAATATAAAAATGAACTATAAACTACCTCTCAGTCTCTGGAGTTTATCCTTTTCCTAACCTTATCTCGAATGTTCTGCATGGATTTCATTTAAAAAGAAAAATAAAAATCTGTTCTCTTTGTTGTTCCAGTAATTGCTGTGAAATAGGGGGTTTTTCTACTCAGTTCCTAATTTTGTTGTCAAAATTTTTATTGCTTTGAAATTATTATGAGAATGTACTATTATCCTGTGAGCTGTCGTCTATGTAGTTAAATATGAAAACAGGCAATTATTTCAAATTTAAAGCTACTAAATGTTTTTAAATCCACAACAAAATGCAAAAGTTTAGCAGATTTAGTGCCTAGAGCAACATCTTTATGAGGACATTGCCATGGTCTGAGTGGTTGTGTTCCCTCAAAATTCGTATGTTGAAATCCTAACCTCCAAGGGGACGGTATTAAGAAGTGGGGCCTCTGAGGAGGTTAATAAGTCATGAAGATAGAGCACTCATGAATGGGATTAGTGCCTTTATAAAATAGGCCCAAGGGAGCTTGTTCTGCCCTTCAGCCACCTGAGGACAGAAAAATGCCTTCTTTGAAACGTAAGATTGTCCTCACCAGACACATTAGCCTGCCAGCCCCTTAATCTTGAACTTTCCAGCATCTAACCATGAGCAGTAAGTTTCTGTTCATAAATTACCCAGTCCAACCCAAATGGACTACGACATCATTTTTCCATAAACTCAGTGGCTTTTTAATCCAACTTCAGAGTAAGTGTTACACTACACATGGCAAATTTTAAGAGAGACACAGGCCTTCATTCAAGAAGATATGAACTGGGGGAATGAGGATGAAGTTGAGAAACTAGCAAATGAGTAAGCAAGGTATTATGTCACAGTATGTAAATGCAGTTGTTTTAACTGCCAAATAGTTATGACAAACTGTTGCAATACAAGAATGTTACAAAGTTTTGCACAGGATGAAAAAAAGAGACCAAAACAAGGAGGCCTGGAGACAAAAAAAAAAAAACAAAAAAACCTACAGAAACAGTGATGCCTGAGCCAAATTTTGGAAGAATAGGAACTCTTCTAAGAGTAGCACATTCCAAATAAGAGCAAACTGCATATGAAAAGTACAGATGCGTGATATGAGACATTTGGGAAACTTTTTTAAATACAGAGTTGGTGAGCAGGAGATTGAGATGTTAAAGCCTGAGTGGAAGGCAGAGGCCAAATGCAAAAGACCTTATTTGCCATAGTAAGGAATTTGAACTTTATCCTAAAATTGATGTTAAACAAAATAACACTTTATTATAGGATATCTGTTTTATGATAAATTTAGGAAGTTGAAGAAAGCTAGATAGATGTGATGCCTGGAAATTTGGGCTGTTGTAATTCAAGTGATAAGAGTTCATACTCAAGCACAGACATCGTGGATGGTGCATAAAAGATAATCGCTTGTTAGAGTAAACAAGACAGGGTGAGTGAGAAGGAAGCTAAGCTGATCCACAGGTTAGGTTGCCAGACACTCCTGTATTTGATGATTTCATCTTGCATCCTGTGTTGATTTTGACAGAATACCCCAAATGTGTTTCAGGAGTTCCCCTCATTAATGAAAAATCATCCATTAGAGCTATTTTTCTGTTTCAATAATTGGTCCTTAAATTGTATTAGTAGCAACACAATCTGGAAATCATATCAATACAAATACAGACATGAACTATCCCTTATGGCTTCACCTGTGTGAAGGGGGGAGATAAGGGGAGGAGGGGTTTGAGAATTGAAAGTACTTGTTTTCTATATTAAAGGATAAGACTGTTCTGTTGGCCAAAGTCCCAAGTCAGTAAGCAAATTATCACTGATGATTAGATCTTCAGATCAGTACACACGCTTTGAAGATCAAGGATAGTCTCACTCCAGTGGCCATGCTTCTGAAAGTTAACAAGTTAAAGAGATGGCCTCCAGCTTCTTCAAGTCAGCCATTAGTGACAGATCATGTTTCTAGTCAACAGTCAGCAAGTGCCTCACTCCAACAACCATGCTTCTGAAGGCACACCATCAATACTAGCCAATCCCAGTGACTACACTAACAAAAAAATCCATCAACTTGTAAACACTCCTGCTTCTGAAAATCCACCAATCCTGGACACTGAACATCCTAAAATCTTGGATAAGAATGAGCTCTGGCTCTCTCAGGGAGTTTGTTATTTCAAATACAGCTCTCCCTTAAAGGCACACATAGAGTTCCACGCTCCTTACTATAGCAAATAAGGACTGTATCACATATCAAGTCCAACTTACTGTGAGTTTGCAAGTCTGCAACCATTTCAACAGTTCAACCCTAATTTACTGCTAATTATACTTCATCCTTGTGAATGAGATTCTCAAATTCAGTATTTTCAATTACTGAAGCAATTGCTATAATCTATTTATTTTATATTCTATGGTAAGAATACTCAAGATCTCCCCTAGTATCTATTTTAGATTTTTAGGTCCCAAATGCAAGTGTAAATTTCATGGTTAGTTTTCAAAATAGTGGGTATCTATTAAGTGAAGGAAAAGTTCTTTGAAGCTCTTTTCTCAGAATGCAAAGTATTGAAAACAATGCAGTTAGATATTTACCAGCTTTTATTAACAGCTAAACCTACGAGTTATGTGATTTCCTGAACTCATACTAAAGAAATAATAAAGTAACAAATTTTCCGTTAAAAATAATTCAGATGAAAATAAACCCAGCAGAAGTTGAAATGACCTTCCACACAATATCACCAATTTTTTCAGTTCAAAGGATCAATTGAATATACCAAAAGCATTTTCTGATTCTAAAATTGGTAAAGAATTTTCAAGCGCTGGATAAAACCTGCAATAATAAAAATATAATAATTCCATTTACTACTATAGAGATTATCAAAAATCTAAAATGCCTGATCTTTTTATAACATAGTCCGAGGTGCAAACAATCAGAATGAAGAAAAAAAATACTTTCCTTGGTTTATGCAATATTTTCCTCTTGAAAACTCATTATTTCATCCCTTCCAGAAGAGACTTAGGAACAATATAAAAATTTTTAGAAATTCATTTAATTGAGTTAATGAAAACTGTATTGCTCTCATGAATATAATGCAAATAATTCTTAATCACGATTAAAGTATAAAAATGCCATGGAAGTTGTCCAGTCTTCCCATATTCTTCTAATGCTACACAGACAGCTGCTATTCCTTCTATTACCCTGGAATAATCATCCTAAAATCGTTTCTTTAACTCAGCATTTAAACTGTTTGAAGTGAGCAGTTGAAAGATTTTTGTGATTTTGTTGGCATTCAGTATTCTTCAACTCACTAGCATTCAAAAACTTGTTGGGACATCATGTTTCAGCTGGGAATGTGGCTTGGAAATCATTCTATTCTTGCAACAAGAAAAAATAGGTCACACTGAAAATTAATGACTTTTATCTTTTTGAAGAACTAAGATCACAACGCTGACACAGTGTTGTGAAACAGGCATACTCAGAGACACAGCTAAGCTCTGACTACTTGAAGCAAAATGTTCTGGAGCCATAAACTGGTAGGAAAGTTTAAATGAACATTTTCATAAAGTGCTGGAGGATGAGCGTGGACTAGCTTGAGAGTGTGAGGACCTGCTGGGGCAATAGTCTTAAGGCGTCCCCCACACACTGGATTCCAGCTAGTTCCAGGAATCCAACTGGATTCACATGGCGATGATCTGAGAAATACCAGCTCTGATATTTCAGAGTAACTGTCATGAAATAATACCCAGGCTCTTCACCATTAAAGAAGCCTACGCTCCAGGGAAAAGCATTTGACAGAGACTTATGCTAACTTGTGGAAGGACATTGCTTCCACTCTAGCTCTCTCTAACCTTCCTGTCTCACCTAAGGGATAGAAAACAGTCCACAGGGGCCAACGCTTCAAGGAAATAGACTGGGAATGCTACAACCAGGAAAGGGAGTGTAGGGCAAGAAGGCAAAAAGCTACCACTGGAAAAGCACTAAACAGATCCCAGCCCCTGGACACAGACTCAGATTCAATTGGAAGATACAGAATGCCCCTGCCACAAGGTGCCCTCATACTAGTAGGGCACCACTGTAATAACACTGGGTTACAGCAGAAAGAGCCACAAGGTACAGACCCTCCCAGAGAAGGAGTATTTAGGGAAGCTCAAAGTTAAGAACAAAAGCAAAAACAAAGATGTTAGAGGAATCTGAAGCCTCTGACACCTGTGGCTAGCCAATTCCTAGCTAGTTAGTACATTTCTAGCAGCTTATCAAAAGGATTATATACCATGACTAAGTGAGTATCCCAGAAATCCAAGGTTTGTCAAAATATGAAAAGCAATCAATGCAATGTAATAGAATGAAGGGGCAGGGAACATGTTCATCTGGATGCAGCAAAAGCATTTAGCATGCAACAACTATCCATAACAAAAACACTAAGCAAACTGAGAATGCAAGGGAATTTCCTTAACATAATAAAGTGCATTTATATAAAACCCACAGCTAACATCATGCTCAGTAGAAAAGATTGACAGCTTGAACCCTAAGATCAGAAACAAGACAGTAATGCCCATTTTTGACACTACTGGAAGTGCTACCCAGATCAATTAGGCAAGAAAAGGATTTTTAAAAGGCATTCAGATTGCAAAGGAAGAAATAAAACTACCTCTGTTTGCAAGTAACATGACTTCATATGAGAAAACCCTAAGTCTACAAAAAGTTGATTGGAGCTCATAAGTGAGCTTAGCAATTTTGAAGAATACAAGATCAATATGCAAGAAACATTTCTATATGTTAATAGTAAGCAATTTGAATAGGATATTAAAGTAATTTCATGTACAATTGTATCAAAAAATAGTAGGAATAAATTTAGCCAATAAGGTGTAAAACTTGTACTCTGAAAACTACAAAACATTGTTGAAAGAAAGTAAAGATGTAAGTTAATGGAAAGATGTGATTTGGAGAATATGATATTGTTAAGATGGTTAAACTCC